AGGGGTGTCTGGTGCTCAGCAGAGTGCGAATTTGGAATGGGGTGCATGTTGGAAATGCCATGCAACTTAGTAAACAGTGCTTCTGTCTTGTTAAGTGACCTTTGCAAAAAACCTATATGCCCCCATTACTAGAGCTGTGGAATGATGGAGCCAAGGTCGGGAGGTTGAGACTGGCTGAAATGTGGGTGGAAGCGAGCAGGGTGTACCTGAGCTGTGGAGGGTCTGACCGGTGGTGCTGTGATACTTTGAGTGAGTGATCTGTGTCCTTGCTGCCCTCTCTCCCCCTCCTTCTTTTCTTCCTCCATTAACTTAGGGGGGCATGGGGCAAGGCAGAAAGCAGAAATCTTGCCTTTGTTTTCAAAGCCTAAGACATGAAGTGGGGAGAGGTTCAGGGCATGAATTATGTATCCTGGTCAGAAACATGAAGGGAGAAGGATTTCTTCCCTCCAGAAGACAGTCCTACCTGCCTGCAGTGGAAGAGAGTAGAGGGGTCTGTGCCTCTCTTTCTGGCAATGTGCTGAGAGAGGGGTGCCTGCATGGTTTATCAGGTAAACCTAGCAAAAGATTCCAGGTCTCAGGAGGAGCCCAGCCTGACCTTAGCTTCACAAGGACACAGCCACTACCAGAATTATGACACCAAAGTAGGTAGAAAAGGAGGAAGAGATACCCCAACTTCTCTTTCCACCCTCCATCTCTTGCTGATAGGTCCCATTGAGCAAACTCAACTAGAAGCCAGACTGCAGGGAGGATACTGGATGAAACAGCACTATAAACTGGGTGAAACTGCTATAAGTATGACTCATAGAACCTAGCCTCTCCAAACTTGGAACAGAGCAGAGAATGGATTTGAAGGTGGGGGCAAATGGAGAGAAGTTATAAATCTAGATCTCCTCATTTCCCGTTTAATAGTCCTTCCCTATATCATTTTTTCTTAGACTTTGGAAATTGGGTAAGCAGACATTGAAGCCCTCCCTCTTAGGAGTAGAGAGTTTCTAGTCTTCCTTCCTGGCATGGGGATTCTTTCCTACTCACCATTGGATGCATCCTTTGTTAACAGCCAAGGTTTTAAAAGCCATACATTTAAATTTCATTTCCTTGAGCACTCTAAATTTTCTTTGGAGGCTAAAGGCTATTAGTATCCTTCTTAGTTTTTTTTTCTTCATCTCACTAACATGTAGTCAAAGAAGAACTACTTAGAGATTCCTCGGGGATATCTCGATTAGGTTTTGAACTTCCCTATTTGATAGAAACTTAAGAATTTTATGGCACAGAGCCTCCTGAGCTCTGGTCTCTCCTGCTTATGGAATTTTGCTTCTAATTCCTGAACTTCATAATAGTGCAAATTATAGAAAGCACAGAAGCTGAAGGGAAAATGGTGTTGAGGGAAATGTTCTTACTTTTAAAATTTACTTTTGAAAAATGTGCCTGTTTTTATTGAAAAGATAATGCATGTAATTTACTTAAATGATATATTTACATATTGTTCAAGAACTTGGTTTTTTAAATTTAATGCTTTTTTGGGATTTATTCTTATTGATTAATAAATAAAGATCAATTTATTCATTTTAACTGCTATGGAGTATTCCAGGGAATGAATTAAACAGTCTATACCAACATGGTTTTGTGATAGATAAATTAAGTTTTGCTAGCTTTTCACAACAATAAGCAGTGCTGCAGTGATCACCTGGCTCCTGGGGTAGGTCTGGGAAGTTCAGTGGATGATGAGTTAGAATGGGCAACTAGGAACATTTTTCAGTATAGTGGGCAGCTAGATTTGTCTTTGCTTTTTAATGTTTGGTTCAGTTCTTTCATCTTTCCCTTATGGTACTATGTCTACTACTGTTTGCAAACTTGGTAACATTATTAAGCACCTGCTGTGTATGGGGCACTATCCTAGGAAGAGGGAAAAGCTGAGGTGAGTAAAGGAGACGTAGGCCTTGATCTTATGAGTGGACACTGTTGAAGGGAATAGTAACACGAAATCAATGGAATACAGCATATGTTTTGATTCTGTCTGCTATAAGTATGACTGTGGAAGCAAGGAAGATAATGGGACTAACTGCTGGGGAAAATCTGGGAAAACCCCAGAAGCAACCACCAGGCCTGGGACATGGGAGCTTATGGTAAGGAGGTCGGTATGGCAGAGATACTGCAGGCAGTGACAATAGCATGGATAATCATGGGTACATGAAAATGTAAGACATACCAGGGAGGTAAATCCAGGGAATAGAAATCAAATAAAAAGAATCTTAGGAATGCTGTGATTTTGTAGCCAATCAGCCTTTCCTGTGGTCTAGGTTGCCACCAACTAAAACTCACTATCAGAGATGTGCCAGTTCATTCTTAGACACATTTGTTCCATGAAAGGATCATATACAAAGTGGCTCCCAAATGCTGAGGGAACTGAGAAATCAAAGGATGAGACAGACAAATCCAGTTTGTCACTAAAGGGTCACTTATTTGGGGAACTTATGGATGGAAGTTCATGAGCAGCAAGACAAGTAGACCCTGGTGCTGTAACTCCCCAGACCTAGGGCTTTTATGCTATAGGGAAAGGGGGATGTACTCTACCAGGGAAAATTAAAGGCGACGCTTCGGAACAGGCAAGGATGCTGTGTGCCTCATAGACTATGATTCATGCCATACATCAAGGTTGACATGTTCTTATACTAAGGACAGTAAATAAAGTAGGGATCAGGAGGCATTCATGGGAATGGGGCCAAAAAGCCAACATAATGAATCAGCATCCAAGATTGAGTCAATTTTGTTTCCATATCATCTTGTACCATGCCATTGTTTTAAAAAATTTCTTACTGAGGTCTGATTTGTTGCTATCTGTGGTTTGTGTATATCTATTAGGTTTCTATGATAAGATGGGCAAAAAGCAGCAATAATAAGTGCTTAAATAATAAAGAATAAGACTTTTGCCCCTTGCATTTGCCTTGATGTGTACCCTTTTTTGTGCAGTTGTTGTGACAGTGTATTATGTACTATTAATAAGTATAATTGATTGCTTTTATTGAAGCTCTTTAGGCTCATTAGCATCCAGGCTTCCTTACATTATTCTTGCGTTTCCTGCTGCTCAAGTGAATTTATGAGTAGTTCTCTTCATTCACATAGTGTTAAAATTAAATGCCAAAGGTCAAAAGCTGATTAATTCAGAATTGATTTATCAATAAATGTATATTTAAGACTGGAGATACACTTAGGTTTATGGAGATTGACTTGGCTTTTACCCAAAAACTTACAATGGCAGAAACTGTTGCCACCCCTCAGTATCTATTATCCCTTTCTGTCTGTTAGTATTACAACTCCCTCCATGGGTTTTAGTAGTATTCCAGGAGAACCCATGCAGTTAGGTGGAAGTGTTGTGTACAACTTCAGGGACATGCCTTTCTCCTGCCTTTGGCAGCTGCAACAAACTCTGATACAGGTGGAAGCACGTGTGGAAGACGGCTGAGCTGTGCCACCAGCTTTGATACCTGAGTGTACTCATGGAGCAGAGCTGCCTACAGCCCTGGACTGTCTATCTACTTCTAGTCTGTTATAAAAATAAATGTCTTATTTGAGCCACTGAATTTTAAAGTCTTTTCATTAGTAGCTTAACCTAGAACCTAACTAAAATTCCTAGCTAAAAACATACCAAATACGTCTTTTAAGGCTATAGATGAATATGGCAGGATGGCAGGTCAGCACTTTATTTTGTAGGAATGTCTAGCACAGTTTTTCTTTAATCTGAATACCTTTTAGTGAAATTTGTTCTTATTTCCCCACAATTCACAGTAAGTCTTATTTTCTTAAATCTACTTAATTCACACATTTATATTATCCTTCTCGCTTGTGTGGACATTTCAGCTTGTTTCTGGGAAAAGTACAAACCGATTTTTTGTTAATTGGAAACTCTCATTTGTTATCCCCATATGATAATCAGCAGATTTTCTCAGCATTCTGTAGCCCAGACCTGATGACTTAGATGAGATCATGTCACTTACGACATTAACTGGAACCTGAGAATAACTGCCTGAGAATGCTGTGCTGCTGGGACCATCTTGATGTTGGTTAACTGTGTCAGATGTAGCTTGCTTACATTCCTGGGGGAAGCAGATAAGAAAACAATTTAGTGGGGTTCATGGGGGCATGAAGATAAAAAGTATCACAGTCCAGGAAGCAGAAGAGCCTTGGGATTTCTCTTCCCTGCACATGACAGGGACACTGCTTAATGAAGCCTGAGAATGCAGATATTTCAGTTCCTTAAACTAGCATCCAGTGAAATTCAAAAAGTCAATTTTATATCTGAAAAAGAAGTGGATTTTTCTTCAGCGTTTCCATTCATCTTGACTTTTGTCACAGCGTTTTAGGAAGCATTGTGGATGTAAGGAAAAGCTTAGGTAGAAGCCTTTGGAAACCTTGGGCAGAGTGGCTGGCAGGGCCCAGGAGGTCTTACCAGTTATGATAGGAAATTACATGCAGTGGGGAGGTGGGGCAGAGTGGGGAGTTCAGACTTGTTTGGACTTGGCAATAGAAACCGTGAAGTTTGAAAACTAAGAGTCAAAGCGAATATGAATTGATGCAGGATATAAAATCACCTAAAGCAGAGTTCAGCAAAATTGAAGCCTCAAGTAAGCCTCTGTGGAAATCTGACTAAGAAAGTGGCAACAAGCATCAAAACACCAGCATGACAGAGAAACCGTGAGGGACATCTGCCTGGCTTATCAGAGGCTCACATCCTACAGAGCGGCCCACCAAGGCCAGAGTGGATGAGAAAGGGGCTATAGGTTTAAAACAGTCTAGAATAGCACTTTTCAAAATTTCTTCCAGAATTGCCAGGGATATTTGTTCAACATACAGGTTTTGGGGCCCTCACCATTTTATTTCTTTTGGGGAATGTACACCTAAGCCATGTGAGATGGATGTCAGCTCTTTTATATAAAGGGAGACCGGACCAGGCCTAAATCCCACCCTTTACCCTCACCCCTACATACATTTCCTGAAACTTACAAACTGTGGGACTATAGGAAAGGGAACCAAGTCTCATGAATTGCCCTCCCCTATTACCCCACTGAATGGCCATACAGGCTAAGCTGAATAATGACAAAGTTGAAAGGACCAATACAGCCTTTTTTATAAGGATTTTGAATGTTTTGCAAATGTATTGGTCCCTATGTTGTATTTTGTGCTTCAGCTACCCTACTACTTCTTGTATGTGTATGCATACTGTAGCCAACCATTAAAGTCATCACACACACACACACACACACACACACACAGATTAATTGCAATATCCTGGGGTCAAAGCCAGGAACTGCATTTTTAAGCGTTCCCTAGGTAACTTGAGAGTCCGTCATACTTGAGATGAGGTTGACCAGAGAGCATCAATCTGCTCTGAAGCTCTAGGATGTTGAGAACATTTGTAGGGCTTCTACTACGTATTGGGAATACACTGATGAATATGGCATTACAGTGGGGGACTAGCAAAATACGTGAAGAATTTCAGTACAATAGTAGAGATAGGTAGAAGATGCTATGGGGCCTTCGCCAAGGATGATGGGGAAAGCTTCACAGAGCAGGCAGTGTTTGACTAAGGTATTAAAGATAAAGGGGAATTTTCCAGAGAAAGAAGAGCCATTCCCAGCACATACTGGGTGGAGGTGGAAGGGCATGGAAACTGAAAGGCAGCAGCTGGGGTAGTGAGCCCAGGCAAGCCAGATTTTGAAGATGGTTTCACGAGTGATGTGTGAAGAACGGATGCATTCTTACTGTCTCGGGAAACGTGAAGAAGAAGTGCCTGGGCCAGCCTTTGGAGGCTTGTGGGGTGTCTGATACAGGAGGTCCTCTGTGCTCATGCTAGTTTCTGCCCTGTGAAAAGGTATGATATTTAGCAAGTTGTCAATCTGCTGGAGGAGACAGAAAGGAAACAAATACACAGAATGTTTAGAAAATGGTTTGTACTGTGAAGAGACTAAAGCAGTGATTTCTCTTTTTTGAGAATATAGTCAGATTATTTGGACAAGCCCTCCTGCTGAAAACAAAAGCTTCTTGAAAGTATGGAAGGGCTGACAAGATAGTGAAACCAAGGGGAAACAGGAACTATGAGAGGCAAGTGGAGCAGTGGAACTTCTCATCCTGGCAAACCTGAACTTGGGGAGGCAAGCCAAGGTTGAAGCTCAAGCCTCCCCCTGGTGGAGATGCTGACAGGAGGCCCTCAGAATGGGATAGAGCAGCCTGCCTGTGGCTGAGATTCCCAGAGCTGCCTGCTGCCTGTCCTTCCCAAGCCTGTTTTTTTTTTTTTTTGAGACGGAGTTTCGCTCTTGTTACCCAGGCTGGAGTGCAATGGCGTGATCTCGGCTCACCGCAACCTCTGCCTCCTGGGTTCAGGCAATTCTCCTGCCTCAGCCTCCTGAGTAGCTGGGATTACAGGCACGTGCCACCATGCCCAGCTAATGTTTTGTATTTTTAGTAGAGACGGGGTTTCACCATGTTGACCAGGATGGTCTCCATTTCTTGACCTCGTGATCCACCCGCCTCGACCTCCCAAAGTGCTGGGATTACAGGCTTGAGCCACTGCGCCCGGCCCAAGCCTGTTTTTATTCATGTCTTCCTTCTGGCTATCCAGTCTCTTGCTAGTAAATATACTTCTTTATTTTTCAAGTTGCTCACTATCAGTTTCCTTGGTTTCAATCAAAGATTCCCAATCAGCACAGTCTTTTTTATATTTTATCTTTTAATTTTGAAGTCATTTCAAACATACAGAAATCTTACAGGAAGCATATGGAGAACATTTCCCCCTGAATCATTTGTAAGTTGCAGACCTGATACCCTGACTTTGGAATATTTTAGCATTCTGCATACTAGAACATTCTTCCACATAGACATAATGCAACCGTCAAAATCAAGAAATTAATATTGATTCATTAATATCATCGAATCTTCAGACCTATGCAAGTTTTACCAGTTATCCTAATAACATCCCTCATAGCAAAGAATCCAGCCCAAGATCATGTTTTGTGTTTACTGGTAGGTCTCTTTCATCTCCTTCAGTCCAGGACAATTTCTACTCTTCCTTGGCTATCATGACCTTGACACTCTGGAGGATTACAGGACAATTTAAAAATTATGTGACTATCTTGTTTCTCATCAAATTTGTATTCATCAGTTTCAGCAACAATATGTTTCTTGGCTCAATTAGTTATTACTCTGATAATTATCATGTAAAAATTTTCTACTCCTATCAGTATTTCCACATTTATCAGTTGGCATTATATTGTTGTAAGAAATAGCTTTTTTAATAGAAAGGAGCTGTTCACTAATTTAAAAAATAAAAAAATAAAAGAAATAGCTTTTTTTATTCATTCATTCGGTGAATTCCTACTGTATTCAATGAATTGTAATCTACTGATATCATTATTTGTTTTGGTGCTCAAATGGTTCTAGATTTGGCCAGTGGGAGCTCTTTCAGCCTAGTCCCTGTATCCCTTTGACACATACCCATTAGTCTTTGAGTTCTTCCTTACTTTCTGACATAATTTTCCAGACACATCCTGTACTTTCCCTGCCCCAGCCCCAGAATCAGACTTCTCTCCAAGTAGCACTGTTTCCTTTTAATGGGAGTGGTATTTACAAACCAAGATCTGTACACTGGACTTGCCCATTGCCGCTACACACACACACACACACACACACACACACACCCCTATATTTGTTTCTATATCTCTCCATACTGAGACCCATCAGTTTATACTAATACTTCCAATTCCAATCCAACACCACATTTGTAACCACCTTATTTGACAACAAGAAACTTGGTTCCAGTTATCCATAACGTATTTTGTTGTTGGATCAACCATCCTGATATGCACTCCGTCTCCTGTAACCATCACTTTCTCCCACCCTTGCCCCATGTGGATGTGGTCCTGACCTTTCTCCTGCTCTAAACCCCCACTCTGAGCTGCCACTGTCCCCCACTTCACCATGTGGGCCCCCACCTTACTCACCTCAGGCTCCACTGCTCCTCATCAAATCTCAGGAACCCCAACCCATTCATCTTCCTCCTCAATGGAGGAGCTTGTTCATCTCAGCTTTTCCAACATCTGCTGTTGGCTATGGCCACACCCTGCCCTCCACACAGATGCTTCAGATGCTTGTCTTGCTTGGCCCACATAATGGCTTTTGGATTGGAGTGTCTGGAAAGGCAGAAAGGCAATCAGGAAAAGCAGGAAGGTAGAAAGGCAGGCAGGAAGCTGATATGTTCTTGTTGGGGACCATTAGAAAAAGAATAAACAGAGGAATATAAAAAGCTGGTAAAAAGAGACAGTGGAGAAGGGGTAGAAGTTAATTTAGTGAACCCTTGGAATAAGTAAAGGGAAATGGAAACAGACCTTGGAATTGCACAGGAAGCATCAAGGAGAGAAAGGGGTAAGCTGCGTGTTAAGAGGAGGGGAGATAGAGCAGTAGATGCTTTCACATGAGGTTATAATGGATGGAGTTAATAAATGTTGTTGAAAAAGGAATTTAGAGATATCCAACAAGTAGGCTGAATAGAGGTTATTTAAAACTTTTTTTTTTCTATAAAATAGCCAAGTTATTCTGGGCCCTTGGGAACAAGGCAATTTCTCAGAAGCAGGATTTAGGAACTCTGAGTCATAAGACCCATTATTGTGCAAATTTCTATAACAAAGCAAAATGAATTTATAAATATCCTGTTGAAGCTCTAGGAAAAGTAAGCAAAAAAGTTTTTATCAAGTGTGGAATAGTACATGGAAATTGGTAATGCAGACTCACTGTTATTAATTAAAGATATGTAAAATGTCATTGATTTCTTTTCTTTTCGTTCTTTTATTCATTTATTTATTTGGCTTCCTGTCTCAAGTGAGTCCTTAAGTCTTAAGCTATTTCTTTAAGGAGTCACTACCTAATAGTTCTAAGAAATGTAATCTGTGCAAAATGGCTGGCCTTCCAGAAATTTCTATAATGCAGCAAGAGCCTATGAGAACATCTAAAGAAATATGATTGGTGAATAATTTGCTCTTCTTCCACAGAAGTTGACATTTTTAAAGAATTTCATCACTTACATTTTAATGTTTGTTTCTATAAATATTTGACATAAATTTATACATAATGGGATTTCTAACGCTTAATTTTGTGCCATTTCCCTGTGTCATAAAAGGAGAGATATGCTATTAAAACAAAAAAGAAAAGAAACATTTTAGCTGCTTAACTATACCCAGATACTGGTTATGAATCAAGATGGTATATTCCTAATTAGCAGTTCTTTTATCTCCATTATTTTTCCAGTAAAAGAAAATGCAGAAATATTTTAGCTTTTACAAAGTAGCTGTTTTAGCCAAAATTATAAGCATTTTCTATGTTTGACAAGTATTAAAAGAACACTCTATATGTCACAAATGCCTCAGAATCTGTAAATCTGAAATTGTTCAAAAAATAAAGCTTATTTAAAAAAATGGTTCAGAGGACTCCATAAAATGAAAACACAATGGCCAAAAAATAATGTCATATCAACAGATTCAGGAGGAAATGGAGACAATGAATTTAAAAATAATCTCATGAATTGCAAAAAGGATTAAAAGGTAGGACCAAACTTTAGAGAAATGATTTTCCTTGACCATGAGTCAAGCAAGTGACAGATCACACTTCCCCCATTTTCTAAGAGGGTTAAATTTAAGGAAAAGACCTAAGACGTCATGTGGTCCAACCCAACATTATGAAACCCGAGGAGCGTAAAGCCCAGAGAGACTGAGGAGCTTGTCTGAGGTGAGGAACCCTTGGGACTGAGCTGGTTCTGGAGGTGGAGCACAGCCTCTGGGGCAGTCATTTTCCTCATACCCCTCTGCTTCCTTAGTGAGTCTGTGCAGTTCTCCCTCTTACTCTGAATTATTCTTGGCTTTGCCTTTTTAGACTTTTAAAGTATCTTTAAAGATATCAAGGCATAATCATACCAATATGAACTAATCTTGCATAATTATAAAGGAGCAGCAGAAATGAAGAGCAAGAGGAGGTTGCAGGAGAAGGGCGCCCCCTAGGATGTGTACATGCAGGGAAAGAATGTTCTGGTACATGGAAGCTGAAATGTGATAGAGGGTGTGATTTTGCAGCCACTGTGTGCCCTTTCTTTTAATTAGTTGGCTTTTACTTAAAAAACAAACTTGGCCTTGGTGCATTAAATAATAACAATTATAATCATAATAGCCAGTGATAAACTTTATGGACATTGCATACCAATTAAATGATTATACAGTCAGATCTTTTTTTCAAAAACTTTCTTTTAAAAAGGGGAAGAAATTTTATTCACAGAGGAATCAGGAAAGATTAAAAGCTGAGCAGGATATAACATCTCTGAATTTCCTTCTGACCTTTATGAGGCTGCAACCAGTATGTACATGTTTTAGATTTTGTCTTTTTCTTTTTTCCTTACTTCATATCAGACTCCACAGCTGGACACAGTCCATAAGCTTATCAGATTAATGTGACCCTGATAGATCCCCATTGCATTTATATCCCCTAATTTTATCATTTGGCACTTGGATTGTTTCCAGTTTTCAGAATATATAAACAACCCTGCTAGGAACTTCTTTATGTAACTTACTTTTAGCTGTCTTTTAGGTTAACTGGTCATGACGTACCCCCCAAAGTGAAACTGTAAAGTGTTGCATATCAACATCTGCTGGTTCTTTTTTTTCATATTGCCTATTGCTCTCCAGATTGAAGTAACTTATGTCAACATTAATCATTGTATTTTTCCACAGCATTGTGAACAGTGGGGCTTATTATTTTTTTTTATTTTAACAAGAATTTAATGTTCCCTCCAAGCTTTTAAAATCTGCATTCTTGAATTGTTGCTGGGGCAGTACATTTTTATAGTTTGTCATTTTTTGCGTGTATTTCCTTTTTCCGATTATGGAATAAGACCTTACATATATGTACCAATTGTGTATACTGAATGCAAAACTTTAGTTACGTTTATCACATTTCCCCCATTCTGTTGCATTTCTACTTATTTAAATAGATTTTACCATATTTTAAAAATTTTTTATATTTATACAAATATCCATCTTTTCTCTGATGACAACTTCAATATTTTCAGTATGTAGAAGGGTTTCTCCTCTCTACAGAGATTCCATATGCTTTCTCCGATTTTATTTTCATTCTTAGTTGCTGAAGTCTTTAAACCCAGCAGGAGTTTACTTCAGCATGTTGTGAGTAATACTGGATTCATATCACCTTTTTTTTTCAACAAAGTTTTACTGTGTCTCTCCTCTGCACCCAGCTGTGTGCTAGGCATTGGCGATATTAAGAAAGGTGACATCTTAAGGGGCAGTTCCAGCCCTCAAGAATCTTACAGTCTACTGTGCCATGCAGGTGAGGATGGATAACTGCAGAGCAGTGTTTAGGAAGTTAATAAGTTGAGAATATGGAGGAACACCAAGTAGTTTCCTAACTCGGCCGTGAGGAGTCAAGGAAAGACTCCCCCAGGAAAGGAATGTCTAATCTGAAAACTGAAAATCAAGTGGGTAAGGAAACAGTGAGGAAGACTGTTTTGGGCAGCAGAACAGCAAATGTAAAGCCTACGGGAAGAGCGTGGTGCTTTCACAGGGAAGTAAAGAAAGAAATCAAGGGCTGAGCGTGATTGTTGTACCAAAAGTACTTTGGAAAGCTGAAAGCCAAGGTCCTTTGTACTCACCTGTAGTTGCTGACTGCCAAAAATGGATCGTTTCGAGTTTGCTACCTTTTGCTACACTAAATCAGTGAAGCCCTGAGGTCCTTATACAAGTAACCAGCCCTAGGCAAAAATAAAGTCCTGGAGAAGGAAGTTCACTTCTGACGTAGCAAAATCAAGGATAGCAGGGAAAAGAGTGGCTGTTTGGTTTGTCTTGACATTTTAGTTTTCTCCAAAGAAGCTCTTGAAGTTAGAGGATCCTGTCATGACCCAGGAAGAGCCCCATCACCATTTCTGTGCCAGCAAGAAAGCCTGGACCCAAGGGTGGGAGTATAAGGTGGACCGATGAGTGGCACCAATACTTTCCAAGAAACTCTGAGAAATAGGCCTCTTTCTTAAGAACCTGGTGCTACAAGTACTTAATTCAATTGGCTTAAGTGAATGGGTCAGGAAGGAATTGGGATATATTTGAAATAGAGTTTTTGTCAAATTGCAAATAATTGACCATAGATTGCAAGGCCAGGAAAGGGTAACAAAATTAGCTTTTTTCACCCCAGTTGTGGTCCTAAGAGTCATCCATATTGTTGCTTACTGCTATAGTTTATTCACGTTCACAGGTATGTAATATTCCATTATGTGAATATTTCATAATTTACATATCTGCACTCCTGTTGATGGACCTTTAGATTGTTTATATAGAGTCTGGAATTGGTATTTTCACTTTCATTAAGGTATACATTGCTAAGTGCATATTTCTAAGTTTAATATAATCAAATTTATCAGTAGATTTCTTCATAGTACTTTTGTGTGTATTCTTTTCTATTTTAAGGCTATAAAAATTACCTTATCTGCTAAGTTGAAAACTTTGCTTTTAACATTAAGCACTGAATCTACCTGAACTGATTTTATATTATGGTGTGAAGAAAGGGTTATATTTCATTTTGTTTTTCCATGTGGATCCTCCCAGATCCACTTATTAAACAGCCATTTCCTACACTTCCCACTGATCTGCAAAGCCACTTCTATTAATCTGTATATGCAGGAATCCCATTTTTGGGTGTTGTATTCTATGTCATTGATCAATTTGTCTATCCCTGTATCAATGCTATAGTGATTATTTCACCTTCCTAGCAAATTCTAATATCTGGTAGCGCACATTTCCTTTGTTTTTCTTCTTTGGAAATGCCTTAACTATTCTTGGCTCTTTATTTTTTCTTATACATTTTATGCCTGTCCTCTCTTCAGCAGGGCTTTGAGCTTGCCCTGATTTTACCCTATAGACATCTGCACGCCTTCTGCCTTGAAGCTGTGATTTTTGTAGCATGGAGGAGGACAGAACAGGACAGGAGCAGCTCTTCCCTCCTTCACCTTCTTACAGATGAGAAGTAGCCTCATTGGTCTATGTCTCTGTTTTGGTACCAGTACCATGCTGTTTTGATTACTGTAGCCTTGTAGTATAGTTTGAAGTCCGGCAGTGTAATGCCTCCAGCTTTGTTCTTTTTGCTTAGGATTGAATTGGCTATGCGGTCTCTCTTGTGATTTCATATGAAATTTAAAGAGGTTTTTTCCAGTTCTGTGAAGAAGGTCATTGGTAGCTTGATGGGGATAGCATTGAATCTATAGATTACTTTGGGCAGTATGGCCATTTTGACAATATTAATTCTTCCTAACCATGAGCAAGGAATGTTTTTCCATCTGTTTGTGTCCTCTCTTATTTCATTGAGCCAGTGGTTTGTAGTTCTCCTTGAAGAGGTCCTTTACATCCTTTGTTAGTTGTATTCCTAGGTATTTTATTCTCATTGTAGCAATTGTGAATGGAACAGAACAGAGACCCCAGAAGAAACACCACACATCTACAACCATCTGATCTTTGACAAACCTGGCAAAAACAAGCAATGGGGGAAAGGACTCCATGTTTCATAAATGGTGTTGGGAAAACTGGCTAGCAATGTGCAGAAAGCAGAAACTGGACCCCTACCTGTCACCTTAAACTAAAATTAACTCCAGATGGATTAAAGATTTAAACATAAAACCCAACACCATAAAAACACTAGAAGAAAACAGAGGCAAAACCATCTAGGACATAGGTGTAGGCAAGGACTTCATGACTAAAACACCAAAAGCAATGGCAATAAAAGCCAAGATAGACAAAAAGATCTAATTAAAATTCAGAGCTTCTGTACAGCAAAAGAAACCATCATTAGAGCGAATCAGCAACCAACAGAATGGCAAAAAATTTTTGCAATCTACCCATCTGACAAAGGGCTAATATCCAGAATCTACAAAGAACTAAAACAGATACACAAGAAAAAAACAGATAACCCCATTCAAAAGTGGGCAAAGGATATGAACAAACACTTTTTCAAAAGAAGACATATATGAGGCCAACAAACATATGAAAAAATGCTCATCATCACTGGTCATTAGAGAAATGCAAATCAAAACCACATTGAGATATCACAGCAGTTAGAATGGCAATCATTAAAAAATCTGGAGACAACAGATGCTGGAGAAGATGTGGAGAAATAGGAACACTCTTACACAGTTGGTGGGAGTGTAAATTAGTTCAACCACTGTGGAAGACAGTGTGGTGATTTCTCAAGGATCTAGAAATAGAAATTCCATTTGACCCAGCAATCCCCTTACTGGGCATATACCCAAAGAACTATAAATCGTTCTACTATAAAGACACATGCATACGTATGTTCACTGCAGCCCTGTGTACAATAGCAAAGACCTGGAACCAACCCAAATGCCCATCAATGATAGACTGGACAAAGAAAATGTGGTACATATACACCATGGAATACTATGCAGCCATAAAAAACAATGAGTCTGTGTTCTTTGTAGGGACTTGGATGAATCTGGAAACCATCATTCTCAGCAAACTGACACAAGAACAGAAAGCCAAACACTGCATGTTCTCACTCATAGGTGGGCGTTGAGCAATGAGAACACGTGGACTCAGGGAGAGGAGCATCACACACTGGGGGCACTTGATGGGGTTTAGGGGAGAGACAGAGGGGGGTGGAGAGGGAGGGGAGGGTGGGGAGGGATAACATGGGGAGAAATGCCAGATATAGTATGCACCTAAAGTTAAATAAATAAATTTTTTTAAAAAAAAGTTGCTCCTGGCCCAGGCTGTAGCATGTCCCATTCAAACCAGCTTAAAATAGTCTTTAGCCTCCTCTGCCTCCATTTCTGTGTTTATTTCTTTTCATTATTCCTTATATTACAAATTTTCTTTGGAAAAGTTGGGGAACCAGCTAATCATCATCTTTGCAGAATGGGAAACACATTTGAATTTGTTGTGTTTCTGAAGAACTGACTACAGGTTCTATTGATACATTTTTTTGTCTCTCCATTTTGTTGATTTTTAATTTCATTATTCTTTCCTTGTTTATTCTGGCTTGCTTTTTCATCCCTATTTAACAATTTTCAAATTGAATATAGCTTCCCCTTAAAAAAGATTATAGACATTTAGAGGAATAAATTCTCTATTGGCATCATGGTGTTCCGCAAATATAAATGTTGTTTATTTGTATTTTATGTGTTAAAACATTTTGTACCAGGTGTTGTGGATTTCTTCCAAGACTCAGTACTGTTTAAGAACTTTCCTTCCTCCTTTTTAGTGTTTATGGAATTAGGCACATTTTAATGCTTAAAGACTTTCCAATTTTATTGCACTATGAACTGAGAATGTGGCAGCCTGAATTTTTGACTTTTTTTTTTATTATATACACATTACATGCCAGAATATGGTCCTTTTCATGAAAATTTCTTGAGTATAGTTGCAAATGCCTTTAGTTATCAGTAAAGTCTTCTCATTTGTCTATTACAACATTATTTATTCTATTGTTAACCTCCATAATCTCTTTACTCACTTTTTTAATCACCTTCATTTGCTTCATATTATTAATTTTGACCTTGGTTCATAGTCTGGTACATTTCTCCTCTGAATGGCTGTGATGCCGAGAATGACTCTTTATATATGTATGTATATGCATGTATATAGTTCTGTTTCTCTGGAGGGCATTTCTTCTGTTTTCAATTTTCCATTGCTTCTTACAGCCATCTTTGTAGAGTAAGAACTTTTCAAATTATTTCAGTTATTAGGTCTTGGAATATGCTGCTTTCAGAGAGGAGAGCCAGCTGGCTGGCAAGCACCGTAATCTCACCCGCTTTCTGGTTTGTGCGCATTCTCCCCCAGCCGCCTCCTCTCCTCGCTCAAGGCAAAGTTTGATACTGTTCTTCTCTTTATTTTAAACATTATCCTTTCCTTATTCCTTGTGATTTGGAGGAGTATTAATTTGTCTTGAATGTCTAAAACTTGGAAAGTCATTTTGTC